ACAAGCTAGAATGTCTTGCAAAGCTCGCCAGATTCTGAAATGATATAGCAAACAATGGATAGATGGTCGAGGCCCTCAAGAGAGGAGTCTCTCCCTCTTACATTATGATGATCTTAGTGATTAGTATCAAGGCATTGATGCCAGTCAGATACAATGAGTGGAAGGAACAGATCGTCAAGATATACAGAGAATGACAAAGGCAGAAAGTGGAATCATTGACACTGCAGGACTACACCAAGAAGCTGACTCCATCAACCCCAAATAAGTCAAGGCAAACTGCCAGAAAATCATCAGGACCTTCAATGGCTCCCACATATGGAACACAAAAAACTGGGACTGACACTACATATACCAGATCTGGAAAACCAATAGACATTGATTGAATAAAGAAAGAAGGCAAATGCTTTAACTGCAAGCAGAAAGGTCATATGACCAAAGACTGCTCAAAGAAAAAGCAGACCCAAGAAGACATACAGGCCCAAATTGCCAAGTTACAGAAATAAGAGGAAGGACTTGGCACAGAAACAAAAGTGGAGGAAGTAAAAGATGAGGCTGACCAGTGAGTGGTTTCACTGAACTGGCCTGGAAATATGGTGTGCCTTCAACAGCTGCTGGTTGGACTGATAGTTTCCCTGTAGTTACCACTATGTACAAAGAGTATTCAAATATACTCACTAAAACTTCACACACCCAAAAACTGCAAACAAAGACTCAAGCACTCTCAGACTGAATAAGGGTAGAGAACCTCAATACCTGGCTCAAACCATTCGACACTGAATGGACCTGGTAAGCCATCTGAGATGCCAAAAATGAAGTAGCAGCCAAAGCCATACTCAAGAATTGGGTCCATTGGACCTGAGCCAAGGAAGTCATCAATGACATGGTAGAAGAAATGAAAAAGGCTGAAAGATGCTGGGCCTTGGAATAGCTCAATGAACTCCAAGGGCCATGGAAGTTCATTCAGAGAACCAAAACAGCTGGGTGAGATCTGATCACTAGAGCCCAAATCGAGACTCTCACATTCTAAATGATCCATTTGGTAACTGTGTTGGTCGACAGCAGGTGCACAGGAAGCTCTATCAACCATGCTTTTGTCAATAAGCACAAACTCCCAATGTGATCCATGGCAGCACTAATTCTGGTTTACAATGCTGACAGAACAAAAAACCAAGTCAGTTCGATCACTGAGTTTATGGAACTCAGACTCATGATCAGAGATCATTCTGAATGAATTAATCTGGCAGTCACAGACCTGGGGACCAAGAAGGTCTTCCTCAGTCATGATTGGCTAATACGCTACAACCCATTGATTAATTGGAAAACTGGATAGATCACCTTTGCAAGATGCCAATATCAGAAAATCCCATTTGAACTGCCAGATGAAGACCTGGAGGACTGGTGGGATGAGGAAATGAAGGATGGGAAAACCATCCTTGCTATCGACTTGCAGCATGAACTATGCATTCACACCATCCATCATGCTAACAATCTCACTGCCAAGGCCAATGAGCAGAAAGAGGAGAAAACCTTTGAGGAAATGGTGCCTGAATGGGTATGAGACTTCAGAGACCTATTCAAAAAAGAAAGCTTTGATGAATTACCAGAGCCAAAATCCTAGAATCATGCAATCAAACTAACTCCAAATGCGAGTGCTAATCTCAATTGCAAAACATACCCACTTGATAACAACAAGCAACAGGAGCTTGACAAGTTTCTGAACAAGAACTTGTCTAGCAGATGTATCAGACCCTCAAAGTCCCCCATGGCATCACCATTTTTCTTTGTTAAAAAGAAAGATGGTAAGCTTTGACCAGTCCAAGATTATCGAAAGCTTAATGAGATGACTATTAAAAATTGATATCCTCTCCCCCTGATTTTGGAGTTGATGGACAAGCTCCAAGATGCCAAATATTACACTAAACTTGATGTTTGGTGAGAATATAACAACATCCATATCAAGGAAGAGGACAAATGAAAAGCAGCATTCAGAATGAACTGGGGACTGTTTGAGCTGATGGTTATATTCTTCAGACTCACCAATTCTCTGGTGACATTCCAGTGGATGATGAATAATATTTTCAAAGACCTCATCACCATTGGAAAGGTCACCATTTATCTCGATGACATTCTAATCATGTTGAAAACTAAAGAAGAGCACAGGGATTTGGTATAATAAGTATTAACTCTTATGAGAAAACACAAATTGTTTCTCAAGGCTGAAAAATACAAATTTGAGGTACTCAAGACCAAGTACCTTAGGGTTATTATAAGCAAGGAAAGCATCTGAATAGACCTCATCAAGATAGTGGAGGTGACAGAGTGGCCAGAACCAAGCAAAAAAAAGGAACTGCAATCATTTCTTGGATTCACCAACTTCTACCAGTGATTTATTCAAGATTATAGCAAGATCATCTGATCCATGACATAGCTAACTGGCAATGCCCCTTGGACATAGGGTCTCTCTCAACAGACTGCTTTCAACAACCTAAAAAGATGGTCAGCCGAAGATGTCATACTCACAATCTCCATGCAAGAAGGAAGGTTTAGAGTTGAGGCCAACTTGAGCAAAGGAGCAATCAGGGCCATACTATCTCAAGAGCAAGATGGGAAGTGGCACCCTGTTGCATTCTTATCCAAGGCACTCATGATCACTGAGCGAAACTATGAGATCTATGATAAGAAACTCCTTGCCATCATGCTCACCCTGGAAGAATAGTGACATTATCTCATCAGAGCAATGAAGAGTTTTAAAATCTGGACTGATCATCAAAACTTACAGTACTTCCAACAACCACAGAAGCTGAACTGCTGACAAGCCAGATGGGTCACCAAACTCAGTCAGTACCAGTACACACTCTATTACAAAGCTGGCATAGCAAACAAAAAGGCTGACCTTTTGAGCCAATGAGCAGATCATGACCAGGAGGGAGCCAACAATAAGAGAGTGACATTACTGTGACCTGAGCATTTCAGGGCTATGATAATGCTGACAGAAGAAGAAATTCATGAGCACATCAAAAGTGCAATCTGTGACAATCACAAGTGAGATCCACAAATAGCTTCCTCACTCAACCACAAGCAAGGAATGATGAAAGAGGGAGGACTAATCTGATATGATGACTGAATCTATATATCTCAGGACCAAAAATGACATGGCACGATCATCACCATCTGCTATGACCATGCCACTGCTGATCATCCTGGCATTGCCAAGACAAAGGAACTAGTACTGTGAGAGTACTGGTGGCCCAAACTGGGAAATAACATTACTATATATGTCAAAGCATGTGAGATCTGCCAAAGAGGCAAATCATCAATACAGGTATAAGCAGCCCCACTCCACCCAAATGAGATCCTATCATCCTTGTGGACTCACATTTTCATCAACATGATCACCAGGTTGCTGGATTGTAATGGCTATAATGCTATTATCACCATAGTAGACTACTTCTCAAAATCAATCATTCTGATCATCTGTTCAACTGAGCTTACCTCAGAAGGATGGGTAAAGATACTATGAGACAAGATCTATGCAAAATACAGGATGCCTCAAGTAGTCATATCAGATAGAGGTCCCCAATTCATATCCAAATTCCTAGACAACCTCTATTGGCTCCTAAATATTAAATGCAATGCTTCAACTGCCTATCATTCTCAGACGGATGAACAAACAGAATGGGCTAATCAAGAAGTCAAGAAGTACCTTTGCCTATTCATTAACTATTGCCAGAACAATTAGGCAGAATGGCTGGCCCTTGCTGCCTTCCAGCACAACAACCAGGTACATTCAGCAACAGGAAAACCACATTCTTCATGAACTATAGATGATACCTCAATGTCACACAAACAGAGTGACATCATACCATCACCCCTGCCTCAATGGACTTTGCCACCACAATGGCAAAGATCCACACAGAAACTAAAGCAGCTCTTGAAAAGGCTGCCACAATGATGAAATCACAATATGATAAACATTGATGGCCAGCTCGTAAATACTCTATACATGAAAAAGTATGACTGGATACCATCAATCTTCATCTCCCACATCTGAAATGCAAATTGGCTGACAAGCATACTAGTCTCTTTACAATAAAGGTGAAAATCAGTGCAAATGCATACCAATTAAACCTACCAAAAAACTGGAAGGTCCATAATGTCTTTAACAAGACATTACTAACACCATATATCACTCCTGCATTCCCAAACTAAGAGCAACCACTGCCTCCACTGCCCAACCTTGTCAACAACAAAGAACATTACAAAGTCGACCAGGTCTTAAATCATAAATTGCAGAAAGTCAAGGCAAAAGGTGGCAGAACAACAACCACAGTGGACTATCTCATTAGCTGGAAGAGATATGGCCTAGAATCTAACCAGTGGATAAACGAAAAATACATGAATGCTGATAATGCTATATACAACTATAAATTATTTCTAAATTAAGCTATTAGGATGATAGTCTTAAGGAGAGGGTAATGTTATGACTTTCTCTCTTTTTCTTTCTTTTCAACCCCTATTTATGCTTAGTCAGAACAGATGCTTAAGATCATGAGACAAAAAGGCTTAGTCATCACAACTGGCCAAGTCTGCTATTGTCTCTTGATGCAACAGCATTGCCCAACAATGCAATCAGCCTTTTATGTATAGTAACGATGCTCTAGAACAATGAGCACAAAAGACAGAGAGATACATAATAAGTATGTAGTATTATTAGCAGAGTCTTGTACAGTATTTAAGAAGCTCACTCTAACTGGTAAAATCCCTAGCTTTGAGCTAAAGTTTATACATCCTCATTCTACTCTTGAGCAAATCACACAAAGCCTTAAAGCACAAGAAATCAATGAACAGTACATCAAGTGAACTCTAATGGAAGGCTCAGACACAAAGCCATGTTAGTTTATCATGTGCTAAGTCGATCACATGTGGCTTGAGTCTAACATATTACAGTTCTTCAAGCCCAGTCTCTGTCTGAACCTATTGCTCAGCCATTCTGGTGACTCATCATTCAGGACCAGTATGTTGACTTTTTAAAACTTTTTGCTTCAATAGACCAAGAATATGATCACAACAAGAAGGCAAAAGAGCTTATGGCAGGATATGCTATTATCAGAAAGAATATTTCATCTGCCAAGAAGCCTCTCAGATCAGAATCTGACTGGTGCAGAGTGTATAATACCTGGACTAGAGATGTTCAGATTCTTTATCTGCACTATGAGGCTGAACTCAAAGTTTACTAAGAATATATGGTCAAAGTTTTTTAGGCTACACCTCATGACTTCACAGTTGCTATTCATATTGATGAAGAAGTTCAGCTACAATATGCTAAGTCCTCTTTTTGTATGGATGTCTAGAGTGAACTACAAATTCTCATTCTTACTCAGGTCTTTCACTCTCTTTTGACTTCTTCAGGCACAAAATGATTTTCATCTACTTTACTCCCTGCTGCAAAAAGATTGACAGTTTCATGTGAAAACTAGAACCTGGGTTTCTGCCAAGATCTATATGCTAATTGCCATAGATATGGTACCTGTGGTGAATGTGGATCAGAACACTGAGCTAGGGATATCATCAAATGTGCCAACCTTCTTCAATCAAAAAGAAGACTTAGATTTGGAAGAGGTAACAGTGAAGGTAGCAGCAGCAGCAGCAGAGCCTAGGTCTTTAAGGCCTCAAAAGCATAAATGCAAGGACCAGAATATTGGCCCACATTTTAGGCATGGCTATATCTAGTTGAATACTTCCATATCATCCATATCTACATCTCCTGCTGCTCAATCTACTGAGTCAGCCAATTCTCTATCTTCTCCTTCTTCACATCTACTCAATGATCCATCCTTGCAGGCTACACTACATGCTTTAAAGAATTTTATTGTAGTTGACACACCATTCAATGTCAATTGCTTGGAGAATATTCTTTGTTTTTATCCAAATGAACTCTTTGTCTCCTCAGTCATTTATGGTCTTCAGAATGGATTCTGGCCTCTTGATCTTGGTGAATGAGAAGACTCTCTCTATGACAAGACCAAGAATTATGCTACTGATCCTTGAGATATCAATGAAATATGAGCATTTTATGATCACAAGGTTGCAGCCAGACATTGGTCACTATCTCTATCAGATGGGTTTACACTTCTGCCAGATATGAAAGTATCATCTATATTCATGGTCTAGCAGAATAGAAAACCCCATGTCATAACAGATCATACTTCCTCTGGTTTAAATGCAGGAATCCCTGCTAGCAAGGCAAAGGTCAAATATGACAATATGCATCTGTTTGGTGAGGCTCTTTATAATGCTAAATTACAACATCCCAATATCAATTTCACTCTGTATAAAAGTGATGTTGCCAAGGCCTTTTTAAATTTACCAGTGTATCCTCTATAGCAAATTTGTTAAGTGGTCCTTGTTAACAACCAATATCATATTGTTAAGCAGCTTGTCTATGGGAGCCAAGCTTCACCCAGAATTTGGTGCTTGGTCTCAGCCTTGTTGTGCTGGGTTGAGATTCATCATCTCAACATCACTGACCTCCATGTTTATATAGATGACTTCTTTGGCTGGGATTTCACCAATCACCAAGTTTTCTATCAAGATCAGCAGTAACCTGTTAAGCCTAAATTCCACATGACCAGTGACACATGATAAACCGATAGAACCTCGCACTTCGGGTCATACTATCAGAGTTCACTTGTGTGTTACTAGCGTTGTGTAGTCAAGGTGGTTGCAGTTCACTCAAGATGAGATGATGAAGTAAAACTTTAGTTCGAGACTGGGGTGTTACAGCGAGAACTAGGCTACTTAAATACTGTTTTGCTGTCACATTATAAATAACTGTTCACAAAAGATATTGTCTGCTGTAGAGCTGTTCCCCCCTACCATTGCCAGGCTCTCCACAAAAGCTGTTGTCTTGCTGCGGAGCTGTAGTCGTGCACTGCAATTTGAGGACAAAACAAGCATTGTCTCTCCCTTCACAGCACACAGCAGTGCAACAGGAGAATGACCGACTTGGGCTGCTGAGCTAAGCGTTCCCACGGTCATAAGCGCTGGCAAGCGCCCTGACTAAGCAAAGATAGGGGTCATTTCTGAGGAAAAAGAAAAGAAAATAGAAGAAAAATAGGAAAAATCATAACATAACCAGTACAGCAAGTACAACTTTTGATATTTTAAGAATATATCTCCTGTTCCTTTGATGATCCAAAACAGTTACAGAGTTGGACTCTCAAAATCATTGGCTTCTAGGTCAATGCCAACCAGAGAAGTATCTCTCTTACACAGCAGTCAGCTATCAATATCAAATCCAAGATCAACTCATTGTTTTCAACACCTGAAAGAGTGCCTATTCTACAGAAATAGCAGCATTTAGGTGGATACCTGAACTGAGTTCTGAATGTTCTACCATAGAGCCATCCTGTCCTTTCTTCTTTGTATAGAAAGATAGTTGGAAAAACTCACTCTTTCACAAAGATCTTTATCAATACTGCAGTTAGAGAGGATCTCTCCTGGTTTTCATCTATTCTGCCAGATTCTGTAGGTGTTCATTTTGTTGACTCAGCTCTCTGAGCTGACTCAGAAGCTGACATGATATTTTGGATGGATACCAGCTTAAAAAATGCATTATCATTCATTTTTGCAGAAAACAGTTTTGTATATTAGCTCTATCTACCATCATCTAAAGATATGATCAATATCTTCTTTTTTGAACTTGTCACTACTCTTTCAGCCATCCACTATATAGTATCTCTACTCAAACCCTCTCATCACCTTTTACTTTTCATGGATAGCCTTGATTTTGTTGCTGCATTTGATTCTCTATTGGTATTGGAACCTCTTTATAATAAATCCTTACTTGGAGCTGCAGGTCTGATACTCTGTTCAGGAATTGACATTTGTATTCAATATATTAATGGAAAAGATAATATCCAGGCTGATATGCTTTTCCAACTCCTTTTGGATGAATATCATCATAAATTCCCTGCTGACTGCATCTGCACTTTCACTCCACCAAGAGATCTACTGCCAGTGCAATGGAGACAATCTTTCTAACTACACTGGGCAAGCATGCCCCTTGCATTTCTTGCCCAGCTTCCTCTCTTTCTCTTCTCAATGAACATGTTCTGTTTCTCCAAGCTCATGTGATCAAGCTTGGAGCAGCAAAGAGTTATACAACAGAAGCACATGACTATATACAGTTTTGCATTACTTATACACTGCCACTTGAACCAACACCACTTACTCTCAGCAGGTACATCACCTATACATCCCAATTCATCTCATCTGGCTCAAAATACTTGACTGAAGTCCATCATTTTCTAAAAGACCTCTATCCTGACTTCAATACCAATTGCAAACATCTCATGGTGCAAGCTACTATCTGTGGCTCAAGAAAGATAAGAGGTGATTCCACATTCCAAAAACTACCTCTTCAATTATTCTATTTGATCACCTTTTGTCTTTTTGCTAACATCTCAGATTCTTATGATGACCTCCTATTCACTACCATTCTTGCTTGCTGCTTTTATAGCTGCCACTGGTCAGATGAGCTTATTTAGAAAAATGACAAACAACTTCAGGACTTTTGCAAAATAATCAAACATTCTTCCTTCATCCTCCAAAAGAATGATATACAATATCATCTTCCTTACAACAAGTCTGACCCCTTCTACTATAGCACTAACATCCTACTCACACAACAGAAGCTCACTGACCCAGTCATGCTCCTATTGCAATATATAAAATGTTGAGATCTTTTTTATGGCCTATATGCTTCACTCTTCCTTTGTGAAAACGGTGATATTCCATCATGAAATTGGTTTGACAAGAAGTTTTTTGCAATTCTAGACAGAGACTTTGATGGTCACTCTGCTAGAGCTGGAGGAGCTATGTTTTATGCATTGCTCAGACTTTCAGAGTCCATCATACAAGCTCTTGGTCAGTGGTCTTCTAAAACATGGACCATTTACATTTGGAAACATCCTGCCTTACAAGCACAACTGCAATTAGTATATTTACATATTTATCATCCTCTTCTCTAATCTGCAACCCATTCAATCTTCTTGAACCACCATCACCCCCACTGCTCACCAACCAAAAGCATATAATAGCCATTCACATGTTGTAATTGATTTGAGAGCAGTCTCTGAGGCCCTCATTATAGCCAGTTACATTCCACTCCTCAAGTGAGCAGCAGAGGCAATGGATTTTGATAATTCTAATTAAGATAGTTAATTTCTGATTTTTAAAAATAAAACAAAATTCACTTGTTTTGTAAAATAGCAATAATAAAAATTAAATTTACCTTATCTATTGCAGACATTATCTCCAGAGTTATAGTACTTTATATAGTAAGAACAAATATATGTAAATACCAAATATTGATATAACTGATGTATAACTGGAGCATACTAGTCTTGTATTCCATAGAACTTCAAGCTGAAAGTATTTTTTCTTATCTGTCAAGTTGGCATCAGTGATTTTAAAAACAACATTGCAGCCAGTTCTGGAACTTACATTAGCTGATAAGTAAAGAATCCCAAAAGAGCAGAATATACAATGAGTCTTTAGAAAGCTAAATCATGGAGTGAGTTCCAAAGCTGACACCAAGTGTTGAAATACAAGCTGGTAGAATGAGATGATCAATCAATGTCTTATTACAGTAATTATATTCAAGTAACTGTATACTTACTTGTACTCTTGAGTACAGCACAATTTGCTCCTATAACAATTATTTCTTAGATATTCATATTCCTATAATACTTAGCTATGCTATGAACTATGCAGTTTTATTTAAATAGAACTGTAATTTGGTATATTAAAGAATATATTCATTCAACATACTTGTGCTCAAGTGCCCACTATACTAAGGATTTCAATAGGTTATAGGCTCTGGCTGTACCTAAAAATCCATTAAAGCATACTCTAATATCATCTCTTCTGGTTGATAAATGCTGGCTGTTTATTCTATTCTATCTAAACAATAAAACTCAAGCTATCATCTCCAATTATATCTACTGCTGTCAATAGCAAACTCAGTGAGTATTTTGTCTGTCTACCACACTGCAAGGCTGATGAAATGAACTGGACATTCTACCAAGATTGCTTACTGTTTGCTGCTGAAGCTGCTGGCCCTGAACCACCAGTTTCTGCAGATCCACAAAATCCTACAATAGAGAAAACTGCATCTATAGCTTGTCACCCTGATGTGGTGAGACTGTGCAAGTCAGAGGAGGCAATAGTGAAACAGAGAATTGTGTTGACCATTCCAGACTCATTCTTCTTGAAAGTCAAAGAAGAGACAACAGCAGGAAAGATATGAGAGAAAATGAAGAAGAAATTGGAGCATTGTCCAGAGAATGAAGATATCAAGACTCACCTGATGAAGCTACACATCCTGTATGAGAACCTTATGGCAACAGGAGCTGATCCAGGGTTGTTACCATCATATGATCTATATCTAGCAGTGTTAACAGCAACATTGTGGTAGTACAAGTTGCCTGGCACATAGACTCAATGTTTTAGACCAGCTGACCTGTACTTTCTTTTTCAGCTCACCATGTCTTTCTCTTCTCTTCCACTGTCATCTCTACTGCTTTCCCTCTGGTTCTTTCTTATAGGTTTCTATTCCTCCAAGCATGATGCCACATTGCTCATGGACTGACAAGCATGCATTTGGGCCTTGTAGCCTCAGAGCTTATACCTTCAAGATCTCAACATCAATATAGAGGTGGCTCACCTCCCTGACAACAGAGCTGTTTCAAGCATTGACAGGAGGATTGGTATGGGCCATTTGGATGTCTAATGCATATACCAGTTCATTTTGCTTTCCTATTCACTAAATTTCTCTCCAGTTTATTTCATCACAATTCTCCTCCCTACTCTGTCCAATGTGAAGACCAATGCCTACAGTGGATGACACCTCCTCAGAATATGCTAGAGATTGAGATACAGCAACTTGGACCACCATTTGTATGCTGAGCAGGGCAGCATACTCTCCCTATGCCATAGTTGCATGTATTTCAGGTGGTTTAGTCTTGCACAAAGCTGAGGTAAATAAGCTAGGACATTCTCTTTCTTCTGACACCTTTGTTTTAGGATACTAGTATATACACAAAGCCAACATGCATGACTCTGGTGATGCATGAGCATGCATATGGCTAACTCTCACTCCCTTAACTGTACCTGTTCCAGAGAATTTGATTTAACCTCCTCTTTCCCTTCTCCACCGAGCACTGAACGATTGAGCGAGCCTGGAGCCTTAACAACCGAGCCAAGTGAGTGTTTTATATGCTATTTACTCAATTTCCTCCTAGATACATCTGGTATCGACATACATCCCAAATTTCCCCTATGCTCAGCCATTCCGCAAGCAACTCGTGACCTCGCAGAATCGTCTACGTCAACAACGACGTATACTGCGACGTCTGCTCTCCTCAACAAGACTCTCGACCCAGACACTTACCTTCGTGGTATTAGTGATGAGGCTGACCGACGCGCCCTAAAAACCCGGACCAAAGAGGCAAAAGAAATTGCATTCAATGCAAATGCAAGCTCGTCCAAAAGTGGCCGGAAAGGAAAGGGAAAGAAGTCCAATGTGGAGTGTCATAACTGCCACAAGAAAGGGACATATCAGCGCAGATTGCTGGGCGAAAGGAGGAGGAGGAGAAGGACAAGGCCCAAAACAGAAGGGCAAAGGAAAGGCTACTGCAAATACTGCTGCAGATAGCGATGATGACAGCATTTGGACATCCACGTACGGTTCAGAATCAGAGGAGGACGACTCGAAATGGTTCGAAATGGCGGAACAAAATATTGCTGAATACTTGGCCGCCGAGTATTCGAGAGGGGAGGAGAATAGTCGCTTGGAAGGACCAAAAGTCGAACATGCGGACGAGGAAATTGCTTGGCTAACAGACGATGGAGAAATCAGTCTGGATGAGATAGAAAGCAGCAAATCCGATGCAGAAATGGACGACTCACTTCCTAATTGTTCCCCCCACAAAATCGACACTGAAAGCGACTATGATTCGATGCCAGACTTGGATTTCAACGGCATCCGTGAAGTAGACGGCGAGCGAAGATGAAGGTACTGGAGGCTGCCGCTGGTGCCTGAATACCGAGATTACGTTCTTGCAAAGGGTGAGTGGATATCGGTGCTCTGTCGAGGACACAGCAACAAATGCTCCACCGCGCTCCGCGTTCTGAACAAGATTGAACCAAACTGTTGCCAGCAACTTGACTAGAAGATCCAAAACATGCTCGAGAAACATCTTTGGAGAAGATAAGCTTGGCGGTTTGTACACACTCATGACGAGACTCGGGTTGGCATGGATGGACGCAGCGAGCTCGATAGTAGCACTAGATGTGTCAATGTACGGGCGGTTCCTCCTGAGTGTGCATGTCGCACAGAAGGGAAGGGATAAATAGCTCAAATCGGAGCAGCCGTTCAACTTGGATCTCCATGCCAGGAAGAGGTGTCATAGTTTTGCAATCGCTTGACCTCTCGAACGAAGTGTGAAGAAGGATCATATGCGACTCTTAGATGTCGCTGACTTCTTGGAATACCTGGTCGACCCTCGGTTTGGACGGCATTGGCAGACCACCGACGGACTGTATGACCATATCTTGGATGCCGGGATCTGAGGACGCGGATAATAGCCAATGCAGCGCATCAACCAGGAGTTCGTCTGACTGAGCTCTCACTGCAGCTGATCCAGCATCTCTTAGAGCCATTGCAGAATTCTGCGGCCACTTCTGTAAAGACATGAACATGAAAAAGGAGGCGATGAGGTGATATGCGACATCGGAGAGAGGTGTGCGATAAGGGCATTGGGAAAAGAAGATCGGCAGGATGGCCGATATGATGTAGGCAGCATAGACGAAAACGGTAATCGTACCAATAATCCAAGAGAGGGAGACCTGGAGGGGAATGAGAAATACTACTAATCCAAGGAAGAAGATAGCGAGAGCTGCATGCATGACGACTGGAAGGAGTCCGACCATGACGAAAACTTGCCACTTTTGAAAACCTGCATAGCGGAATTGGCGAGTGTGACTGCGCTCGCGTGACGTTCCAGACGGCAAGGCAGCATAGTGGTGAAGCCATTGCTTTACTAGCACGGCCATAAGCGCAGTAGTAAAGCTAAGTACAAGGCTGGTAAGCCGCAGCCCGTTGACCCAGACGTGGCCCCTGGAAGGAATAAATTTGGCGGAGAGGTTGGAAGGCGAAAAGGGGACCGTATCGAGGGGAGTCCCATTTGCAAATGTGCGTTGTATGGAGACCAGTTCGAATAATAGCATCACCGACGCCTGGGTGTAGTCTGGTTGCCAGCTCTGGTAAGTTTATACGATGAATGTTGTTACGACCGCGGAGAAAAGACCGGCCTTTAAGGATGTTCAGAAAGGGCAGTCATGGAACGAAAACAACTCACGAAAACCAGAAACACATCCAGATTCTCCCTGCATTCTCCCACCATGCGAATATCGGTCTTGGAGCTTGAGCGCATATATGCTTGCCACACAGCTGTGTTCGGCGCTGACTCTTCATAGATGGCATCTTGAGAATTTCCTCTTGTTGTTTACTGCCTGGAACTACATTCAGCAGATTCGTGACGAAAATCAGTAGAACACACCATCTCTTTCTCGATAGTCTTTCATCCCGAATACGCTCCTCGTCTCCTTCAATGGCTCAGTAAAGCTTTCTGTGCCTGCTTATTAGACCAAGTCTCGAGTAGGGGTATCTATCACCGTCGCCAAAACGAGGATGGCATTGAAAATATGAGCCATCTACATAACAGATGGTGAGAAAACAGTATACTGACAATGTTAAAGACTAACCAGCAGTAAGAGAATCTTCGGACATGTATTCCACTAGCCACACACCACCGTGACGAGTTTCCAGTGTTTGATTTCTCGTGCATCACCGAGATACGATGAAATATAGTCATGTGCTTCGCAGACTCGGACAAGGCATCCACGACCATGGTATTTCATGTTGGACTGGTGATACCGAACAGTGGTAGTGGTAGAAGGCCATGTTCAAATTATTCTCATGGTCCGTGCGTCCTCTATGGACAGTAGACCGTTCGCAGAGATACAAGGTACAGTAGACTGATGGATCAATTCGGTGCAAAGGAAAAGTGCAACGGCAAGTTTCGGTAAGATTCATGCGAAACCGTAGCTACATTACGTTCTCAGATAGAACAGCGTATGATAGGCTGGCTTCTCTTATTATTTAATAATATATCAGGGAATCCTAATTTCCCGAGTAGGCTGCCGGGATATGCTAAAAATTGGAATAGTAAACATCTAAGAAAACTCACTGCGCATCTCTTTCGCTGACCACCATCACCACATACGATTACTATCATTCCATGCATTCCCTCGTCACCAAGCACGACGAGCACAGCATCCCAGATGCAAATGGGGTCTCGTCCGTCGGTTTGTACGGCAATCAACCCTTTGGTTTGTGTGAAGAGGCCGTTCGATAGCCAATGACCACTCGTTGCAGGTCAGTCGTCATTAGTCTTCGTCCCTGTCGGCGACGTCCAGTATCGTTCCATACGTTGAGCGCGATGCAAAACGAGGGTGATCATGATGGAGATGGAGCTGATGGAGATCCGAAGTCACGAAAACGTGAGCCGAGTGACAGAAGAACGGACTTGCCTTTGTTGTCCTTACCCTTCTACTCTGCCCACGCATGTCGTTCTAGCTGTAACGACAAAGTTTCTCTATCTACCCCATCCCTGATCATCTGGTCTGTACAAGAAACCTCCTGTCTTTATAGTGGGCCAGTCGACTCGGATCGATCTCGGGGTGGTGAAACATCTCTCATCGAGTCAGAGTCCCCCTTACAGACTGCATTCTAGCCGCTATGGACCATGACGATGAAAGGACGCTGGAGGATGACCAGTGGCAGATTATTGACGGTGACGGCTGGTGGAGGACCTCGTATACGTCAGTCTCCTGGACGTCTTCCCTTACGACAACCAAGAAGGTCGCAGTCCTCCCACGACTGACTGTCGACGACTCGCCAGCTACCGTCCATAAAGACACAGATCTGTCCCTCAATTGTTCTCTGCCTGGTGTCCGGGCTGCTCTCGGCGCTCTCGACCGGTACGAGGCAGATGTTGGTTTTCACTTCTCGCAGAGCAGCACGGCGGCGTCAGTATCTGATCCATGTGATGGTATGAACAAGGGACGATGGAATGAGCTCATTGTAGATCTTTTTGGAGACATCCCAACATCTGCCTCGTCATCTTCCGCCTCATCCCGTGGGAGTCCATCACCATGTCCATCATCGTCCACCTCATCCACTTCCGCACCAAATACTCCCGCGAGCAAGCTGAACGCTTCGGCTAACTCGTTCGTCCCTACCTTTGTCTGCCCCGTTCCTTCACAGAACCACAAGATCAAGATCACCAAGGACGAACAGGGCTTCTATATGGGGGTGGATGAGGAGGATGAAAGGGACGAAATAGAGGAAGAGATTCGGAATATCATCGGATCTTGCGAAGAGAAGGCTCACCGTGTCTTTGCGCCTTTCGCTCCAGACGAGCGCAAGTCGCCGGACTCTGACGACGATGCGTTCGTCGTCAAAATGCCTAAGCGCCGGCTACTAGAGGATGATGAGGGCTGGATTGGCTTCGGGGACAAGGACAAGGTGCAGAGGAAGAAGGATCTCTTTGATGCTCTTACACGCCGGTGTCGCTCTGCGGTACCGGACAAGGTGTCGACAACTGAAGGGTGGATTGAACCTAAGCGTCAATCCTCTGCAGGGCCCACAGTGATATCGTCTGGCTGGATAGAGCCGGGGAGCGCTAATCCGCCCCGAGATCCCAAGCCGCCTGCGAAGAATCCTTCCAAGCAGGGGCAGGGCAAGAAGCTGAGCGCGTGGAGCAAGACACATAAGCGGGGCAGATCGTCGGTCTCCTCATACTCATCGACGTCCTCTCGATCGTCTTCCTTTCATACGCCTCTATACCCACATCCTTCCCGGCCTGGCTACCCTTACCCTATGTATAATCCCCCAGTTTACGCGTATTCACCGATACGGCCGTATTTCTACGGACCGAATCCGGGGTACTTTCAACCTATGATGAATTATCGCGCTATGGCTGGGACGCGCATGTGGTGATCGATTTTGCATTTCATTCTTATTCGCATCATGCATATATACATATCATCACAGACCTGCATTTTTATGACCATTGATCTTTGTTTTTGTGCTATTTTGTTTTGTTCCTTTCTTGTGATTACTAAGAAATATGCGAAGACCCATCCTTGTTCTAGTGCATTGATGTATTTTGTACCAGTAATAGTATCGACCATGAAATGATTGCTGTTATGTGTAAATGAGTGCTACGAACGTCTGAGGAGGTAGACAGCATGCTTAGTTTCAAATGGCGTGACAAGCGCAAACAAATAATTGCGTCGCGTCTTCACCTTTCACCACATGCTGCAGTTTGAAAGGTGCGCGTACATTCAACTTTTTTTACGTTGGTAACGTTCTCTATTGTAGATGAATTATACCCCAGAAATCGACAACATAAATGACATTCTCGAATCTGTCTTCAGAAATCTCGTTCACGACGATGATCCCGAGATTGGCCTTTCTCGAATACAGCCCTGCGTGCGTTCTCAGCATCGAGTCCAGTGCCAGAGCCCGATATGCAAGCTTCCATTCGACCTTCTATCAGAAATATTCTTGCAGTGCTGCACCTTCAGCGATGCTATCAACCACAATCATCTCATCGAGCCGACCGCACTTTATCTCTCGCAAGCCTGCTCGGCGTGGCGTAACATTATCGTCTCAATGCCTAAGCCCTGGTCGATGATCACGATTCACGGTGCCAACGTCCACTATCGACCTCTTCACGCGAAACGTCTTCTTTGCACGTACCTCGCCCATGCCGGTCAAGCTCCCCTCAATATCAGACTCGTATGTGCATCAAGTATTCCTAGCTCGAACGATGTTTTGTTTCTCGATTTTCTGCGCACTCTGCTCATTCAGTGCGAACACCGCCGCATGTCTTTAATAACCGACCTCAAGAATTCCGGAGTTAGATTCATTGGGGCGTTCAACCTCCTATTCTCCTCATACGCGACGAACATCTACAGTGTCACGATGCTTCCAGGACTGGGGCCGCTTTTCATCGTCTCTTGTCCAGCCCTGTCCCACCTCACGGTAACAAGACCCACGTACTGGGACATGGTTTCGCTTGCTTTGGCGAGTTCCTCCAGGACCATTAGCCGAATCGACCTGGTTGACTGTTCAGTGGCGGATATTTGCTACCTTGGCTCTATACCCCCTAAGCTCACACACATGGCAATCCAAAATCCCCTCCACAGTCACCCGTCTGATACCATATCTATACCGCTTCTCGTCTCTCTCACGATCGCGCTTTCCAAGCCTCACCTTCAGCCGCTTAATGGCATATTCGAAACGCTCTCCCTTCCCAATCTTACCTCACTGACTATATGCGCTCCGGATCTTCCTATCGATACGTTCATCGCTTTCCTGGAAAAGTCTCCCGCTCTGCGGACATTGACCGTGTCTTCATGCATCTCTGATTTCCGTTTATTCATCGCAGCATCGAAGAATCTTGCGGTCTTAGACATTTACGCGCACGAAGAGTGTTTGGATGAAATCTTCGATGTTATCAAAGGAAGCAGGCGGCCCTCTGACGCGATTGTACTGCGCATGGTCGAAAAGAAAAGTGACGAAGACGAAGGGGATATGTCTTTCTCAAAAGATAAGCATTTTGCCGAGGACGACGACAGCTCCGCCCACGTCGGCTCAACTCTAAAAGAAGAACACCACGATGACGATCAACAAGGCAAGGACAATGACGACGAGGATGAAACCTACAGTTCGGAGGAATCGGACGAAGAAGTCGATATTGCTTACCAGAAGGTCAGTTCCGAAGTTATCCATGGCGCTCGTCTCAGATATTCCAATCAAATGCGAAAATTCCGCGCTGCGGGACGCAGAATTGCTATCTGTTGAAAATTTTTAGATGTTTATATGATCGGTCACCAAAGGCATGTTAACGTCAGTTTCTCTGCGTCTTATGTATTGTAGCAACCGAGATGAAAATAATTTGAGTCCTACCCTTCGCAACAGCTACATGCCATAAATTTTTCCGTCATCTCCAATATTAATGTTGGAGCTGGCTCGAGCGCAAGCCAAAAACGGTTTTCCCACGCCATCGAGTGTTGACACCGTTCCATTTTGGGAAACCCCGATTCCTTTTGACTGTCCACCAAGAAAAGGAAAAACGTCAAGGTGTGTATTTCGCTCCCTGCTCCTCTTCATGATGTTTTAGTAAAAGGGTCGAGCCTCTCGCCGTCTCTGTGGAAAGAACCTACGATAGCATTTCGCTTGCCCAAACCCCATTCGCGTCTGAATTCCCAATACACTTTCTCGCGAGTTTGCAGAAGTGTGTTGTAAGGCTAGACCGACATTTTAGACTCTTTTTTTCCCCTATTGGCTGGCATGGTCTAGAGATCCATGATATGCTAGTAAAGGCAGAGTCGCACATTCAGCCATTCCCTTCAGCCGAGCTCGTGCAGATGCAGGTCTCCTCTGTTCGAGTGGTCCCTAGATGTGGTTTCACTAGTTCTGGGATGGTACATATTCTGCCAGGATATCAGCGCTCAAGGCAAAGACCAACCTTGTCAGCGTGTGGTTCCGTGCATAAATATGTGGGTTCGGGCGATGTATGGAGCTTTCCCGGAGAAGAGGGTGCTATGAGATCATCCGTAGTTTGTACTGACGTTCTTTTTTTTTTTTAAAAAAAAAGTTCTCCGTTCGAAATCTATCGCTGATTGGTTTTCGTTATAGGCTTATCTTGCTGATAACGTACTATGCTTGCCGAGCCAGGTATCCACTACGCTCTACATACTTTTTGCGATGTACCGGTACCGGGTTCTATCTAGTACTTGTTTTAACGTTGCCGAGGACATCGGCATCACGCATGACTTGAGCGCTATGACTCTGTGATGTGATTCGAGTGTTATCAAACACGTCAAGTCTTCAATGATATGCAAGGCTATGAATGCTGCACGGATGGGGATTTCCTGTGCGTACCATGTACGAATGTTCCGTTTCTTATGTATTTACTACGCAAATCTGGCGTCAGGATGACATCACGGTCTGGAAGATGAAGATAAGAAACGTCTATCGCAGCTCGACGATGGCGTTGCAAGTTCTCCGTCGAGTTCCAAGACGCTCGAAAGCCATCGTTACTCCGACCAACTCCCGAATGGGCTGTCACCCAAAAAAACCGCCCCCTACTCCAAATAAGGAGGGTTGCCACACGACGGGCGCAGTCGTATCAATTCGTCGCTACGCGATCTATTTCGGATTACGCAATAGAAATTCTTGTCGTCGTTCTGTATTTGATAATATGCTGAGATGGTCGCGCAGAAAATACGTATTCATCAAACCTCCCATCTAACACTTATACCACCACGACTCCTTGCTGGGGCTTTTTCCCTATACCCGTCGAGATTTCCTCCCCGGCTGTATCTTTAGAGACTCGAAGCTCCAAGCTGACTGTCTCGCCCACACTCGTTAATTCATGGCGTCGGCGGTTCGCCCACAAAACCTGCTTCTCCTCCTGTGTCTCCTGCTATGCCACTTCTCTTATGTTCATGCTTATGTCGTGGACCATTCGGTCCCAGTATTGGTCCCGCGGAAAGCCATCGTCTCCAACGCATCTGGGACCGTAGTAGTGGTCGATTCGTCTACCCAGGAGACGATAACTCAGGGTGATGCGAATGATGGAGCAGGCGACGGTTTTTCTCCGCCTGCGATGTTGTGGATAGGGTGCTGCCTGCTGATTGGCGTGCCCTTATCGTTTGCTGGGATCAGGGGGTGGAGACTCACGACTGGGGCCGGTATAGGTCTTTCCGCCGGGGTATTATGTGAGTTTGTGGAGTTTCATCACACCCAGACCTGGAGCTGATGTGTTACTCAAGCCTGGTCCGCTATCATCAACAGCATCAATAGTCAAGGCGTATCCGACATCGTGCTCACGTCCATCATTCTCGTGTTTATCTTCTTTGGCTTCTGTTTGGGTGCTTTCGAGTTCGCACGCGTAGGAGGGATCATTCTTATTGTCCTTAATGGTGGTCTGGCGTTTGGCGTCAGGATCGTCCTGCTTAAGGGAGGGTTGTTGGGCGGGAGCTCGCTCCATGTCAACTGGGCGATTGTTATCGCCTTTCCCATACTTGCGGGGCTATCGATGATATGGAAGCAGAGGCCTCCTTTGGTACGTTCTCACAATTGATTCGAACTTGATGGAGGCTGACGTATAGCGGTCTTTTAGCTTTTTGGATGTGCATCCGTCGGGCTTTTCTTAATGCCATTAGGCATCGACCTCATAGTTAACAAGCAAGACGGCATGAGTCGCGGACTGCGCTACTTGTTCGATCGCAACACCGCTCATTTGGCAGTAAGTATGCCACTTTGAGGATATCTGTTCCCAGTTGTAACAGGACGTTGACAGGACATTATGATTAATGGATATCACCCCAAATTGTCGACGCAAGTAATTCTGATAGTGTCTCTAGTAGCAACGTGCATTTTGTTTCTCCGTCATATCATATCATCCAAGTCTGACATTCTCCACAGACCAATACTTGCTACGGCCCAGCACTATGTATTTCCAAAACCTTTCAATCGCCACAAGGGTCCCCCGAGTGATGCGGAGCTCGCCATTAATTACCCGACTACGTTTGAGCAAAAGAAAGTGCAAGACTTCTTCATCGACATGTGGCACCGGGGAAGCGCTGCCATTGAAAAACACAACAACGGTAGTCGTTTTAGCCTGTAGATCCTCTTCGTCTGCTCTTTCCGTATCACTCTCGCTTTCGACCCTCACTGTACCACCACGCACATATCCATCCATCCACCCCATACATAGATTTTTCCTTGCAGATACCCGCGTCCCCTTTTTCTTTTCGCCTGAGGCCCTCCAGGTGAGGGCATTGGCGAGGTCATTTGACGCCGTATGGTACATACCTTCAGACATCTTTTCGCGTTACTAGCTCAGTGTTGCGACGGTCGGCCACCGTGAGTGAATGAGAACCCCAAAACGATGTGCCTAGTTTTTTTTGCCCTGATTTCCTATAGAGAGGGGAGGAGGGGGGGGGGGGGACCTTTGTCTGGCTACGCTTCCTCTATGGATTAACTGTGTCAGACGTTGAGATGAAAAACCGTTGGATTTGTTTGAATCTTTGCTCAGCGATCGCTGATCGTGTGAAATCCATTCATGGCGGACGTAAGGATCCAGATGGATGTGTGAAGCTTGTACACCGGGTAATGGACATCTTGGCCCAGCTCTGTGGTTCTCCCTTCCAAAGTTCTCGGCGGCTAGCCATGGTCTTGATCTGGCTGAATTATCAAGACCAACAAATCGAAAATGGCATTCTGGCTTTTTCTGTTGGTGAAAGCATCCGAGGCGCGAAGGCAAGATATATATAATGGCCATATGCACTGTATCTTTGTGATACAATATAAGACGGGCCGCTTGCCTCCTACACAGTTAATGCGGCGAAGATCGATTGCCAACTGATCCACGGGTGCTATCATATAGATGAGGGCTGTATTGTTACGTAGTCAGTGCTTATTTGTCTGCGTAATTTCCGGGACAGGTGTTCACTGTGTGGACATTGCCGCGCAGTAATTCTACCTCTCGTACGCAGTTCAGCAACTATACAGTGTAGATTGCTTCATCTCAAAGTTTGATGTGCTTCAATAGTAGGGTTTCGGTAATGAACGACCTATTACTAACATCCTATCCTACTCGAGCCAGGGGTTCTGGTCAAGAAGGGTGTTTGAGGGAAGTTTCAGTCCAATACGAGGAAGGCGACGATTCGGGAGAAAGTAGCGACGCGAGTCAGGAAGGTTCTTAAGTTCTGTTCTACTGTTCAAGGGTGTTAAAACTTATTACCAAACCCTCTTGAAGCCCGTTCGTCATCCGCTAGATTGTTATGAGCCTCCTTAATCAGAAAGAAAGAGACATTCTCTGAACGTTCGGGCCGGACATGTTGTTATTACCTATGTTAATAACGCACCGTTTGCGGGTCGATTTACTAACTGCTTAGAACGGCTCCGGGAGTTAGACGATGTTACCTAAGCTTGCGATACTCGGGTACATTGTTCCTGACGTACAATAGAATCATCAGCACCCGTGACACTCTGCTTCCAGACTGACAAGGTGAGGCACCTGCTCGGAGTGATTCGGGAGGATCCCACCACCGTGAATTCAGAACGGTGACACCACGTTAGAAGGGTGTCTGGCAATTATACATGTACGAGTGTACTACAAAGATGTGTGGGAAGATCATCAAGGTTCGGATCTTCCTGAGAAAAATGAAGGATCTAATCAAGGAACCGCGTCAGAACGTAACCAAAAAAAGATGACGGTTCCATACGGGCCAAGCTACGACAGAACAGAAAAGAGAAGGTAAACGTTTCAAGGTCCTGCCCCGGGTCCGGAAAACAACAAGTTACCGGGTTTGTTTGGTCCCGCCGCCAACAACCCAGCTCGAAAACAAGAGGACCCTGAAGGTAACCTCCCATCATTACCCGTTTTTCAAGATTCATCTTATAAATACCAGCCTGCAAACATGCTAAAGGGTTCCGCTACAAGAGAGAGGCGGTCCTGGACAGAAGAGGAGGACCGCCTTCTACGCGAGGCCGTTCAGAAAGGTGCGCTGCTGCCCTTCCCCCTCCCCATATACTGTAAGCGGGACTCCGGCCCTCAACAATGTGCTCTGCAGAGGACCCCGACAGCGCGAGCCCGTCCAAGTGGTACGCGATCGCCAAACATGTCCCGGACCGAACAAATAAAGACTGTCGCAAACGCTGGTTCGCCAAGATGGCCTCGGACGTGGTCAAGGGCGGATGGTCTCCGGAGGAGGACGCCAGACTCGTCAAAGCGATCGAGCAGTGCGGCACGAGGTAAACAAACTTTTTTTTAATGTTTTTTTCTTCATAACATTGAAAATTTTCTTTCCCCCCCCACTTTGTCGCGTCCAAGATGGTCAATGGTAGCAGCAATGGTACAGAGCAGGAATAGTGACCGTTTGTGGAATTTTTTTTTTTTTTTGGGTTATGTGGCGTCTAGTGCCCCTGACTAAGATATCTCGGCTTATTCAGAGTGCGCAAAGCGCTGGACGGATACCTTGAATCCCGCGATCGACAGAACAACCTGGACACCGGAAGGGGTAAGACAATTAAGAAAAGTTGACATCTTGACGTCGCTTATACTCGGTCCCTTCAGGACGCTCTCCTCCTAAAGGCCGTCAGCGAACACGGCAAAGTATGGACGAAAATCGTCAAAACATATTTCCCCGGAAGAACAGGCCTCTCGGCCAAGAATAGGTAGGTAATCCTTCTTCTTAGTCTAAGCCTTTTCAATACAAAACGTTAATCAAAATCTGTCGTAGATACAACAGTATAACGCGGGGTAACACTGATTCGCGACGTAGCCATGGACACTCTGTATCAGCGTCGGGCCCTGTGCCGTACACCCAGAACCACCAACCCGCAACGTCATCGTCGGGTCCGGTTGTCGTACACATGTCCCTGCCCCCGGTCCCGATACCGCAGCTCCCTTCCACCATGTATAACAGCCCATCGCAAGCAATGCGCTTGCCTTTTCCCATATCGTAAGGCTGTAAATCACGACGATCATGAACACAAACCTTTAGAAGGAAACTTTACCACCAATGTAATTTAATCACCAAGCTATGTATCCTTGTGTACATGGAAGAAATTGTAACATTGACACTTTCTATCACATCCCTTCCTCCCCTAGTGATGCAGAAGACTCTGTTTTTTGATGATTGGCCTCCTTCTCCCGTGACTCGGAGCGGGTTAGCTACGGTGGTCCGGATGGTGACAGGATGATTGTCCAAGCGTGATCGTAAACTATTATAGGCTATCAAATGTGACTGCACTGAACAAGCTATCCGTATGAGGTACTATATAGTTACATCTTCCCTCGTATTCAACTTTTATTTAACTTGTTAAATGCAACCATGCGTTGAAGAAAGTTTTGATATATAACCAAATTATACGAACAAATTATTTGCGTCGACAGCAAGATTTCACAACTATTAGGCTACAATATATCTAGGACATAACACAAACCTCCTCATGTATCAGTAAAGTCTCTAATGATTTCCCGTAATCCCACCTCCTCTTCAATCTTAAACTAACGTAAGCACCAAGGATCTCATGACAAAACGTACACTAACCTGTTGTCGAACCAATTCATCATCCAATCCTAATGACGTGCCAAAGACAGCATCAATTTCTTCCAGCGAGACATTCGCCGTCTCAGGGACGCTATATGTAGCCCACAAATACGCCAGAAAGCACGCGGTAGAGAAAATCATAAATGTCCCACTAGCGCGATCAGACAAAACGTCAGCGTATATATGCCTCACCAAGCAAAGTCGACATTTACGAAGCAGAACACTCGACGAGTACCGGTGTCACCAGCCCGATAAGGACTAACAGTTGTCAGAGAGCCGAACACTGACCATTGGGCAAGTAACTCACAGTTGTTGGTCCAATTAGACGCTGTGGACAATGCGACACCCTTACTCCGTATGGACAGCGGAAAGACTTCGCTTGGAAGCACCCATCCGATAGGGCCAAAGGAGACACCATAGGACGCGGTAAATGTATAGATGAACCTGGGTATTGATGACATGACTACAAGGATGAACAAGACAGAGACTTACGCTACTCCAAACCACGCTGCAATGGAATGAGATGACCAATCGGCGCCATACAGAAGGATCTAAGGAAAGACTTAATTCCTATCGATCGATCGTGGAGACATAACCAACCAAAAGGGAAATTGCAAAGTGCGAACAGGCCATTACCGCGCTCCCGCCTAAGTAGAACTGAGCCATTAGTTCATTACCTCGCGCTCAACGCACCTCTCAACAAGGGTTTCCTCCCTAATCTGCATCAGAAATGAGGAGGAATGAGACCCTTCTGGTTACATACCGATTCGATCTATCTGTAAGATCGCCGGTATGACCGCAAAAAATTGAACGATCCCAATGCCTCCGGAAACCAATAGCGTGATTTTTTCTCCGGATAGTCCGATACTCTTGACAAGAATCGGACCATAGTATAGTAATGCGTTGATACCACTCCATTCTGGAATAATTATCACTTAAATCGTCTCATAGACAAGATTTCTGAACGTACGCTGAAACGCCATCATAAGCACGCCAACGGCCGTACGCGCTCGGTACTTCTTTGTGAACAGCGCTCCCCAGGATCGAAGCTCCCCGAGGATCCCGTGAGTTTTTAGATCGTCAGCATTGGGACACGTTCGTTGGAGAAGAGTGGCTTCAGCGCGCATCTCTAAAAGCTCAATCTAAAAGTACAAGTACGGAAAGCTGATTAACTGGTCAAAGGGAGAGCGGTAACTGTTACCTGAATCAAAGGATCCCTCTTGGCTTCTGTAGGCGTTCGCCGTCTCAGCTTCGCCAAACTGGCTAAAGCTTCTTCATACCTGCCCTGAAGAACCAACAGGCGAGGTGATGCAGGGAGGAATAGGCATCCAGCACATAAGATGATCCCAGGAACGATCTGAATACCTAATGGTATCCGCCAAGACGCTGAGCTGGGTACTGAGGCACACCAGGTATGTTAGCGAGCCAAGTCATGAAATGATAAATGCCTACTTGAACGCGTGAAGAACCCGATCCAGAAACCAAATACGACTCCCGAAACGATGGCGAACTGTTCCAAGGCCATGAGAGATCCACGTAATTCGGGAGGACTGATTTCAGCCATGTATAATGGTGACAGCACACTGCGTAGTCACAGTGAGTTAGCAGTGACTGAAAAGACGAAGGAAAAAGACGAAGGGAAAATGGACCTCAATGCCCCTACGCCTAATCCCCCAACAGCACGTCCGATGAATATATGATACAATTTCCAAGCGCCACACTGGAGTGCAGAACCTACACAAAATACAACTATATAGTATTAGTGAGAAGGTAACCGCCTTATACAACGTAGACACACTGCAAGCTGCGAATATCGAAAGCCTTCGAGAGTGCCGGTCGGCCAAGAATCCTGATAACACAGAACCAGTCAATGCACCAAGCTCCAGAATAGCCGCTTCAAAAGCGTGTAAGAATTAATCCAACGACCAACGCGTGAAGCTCAACTCATAAGGCCCTCCTGGAAGGGTGATATGGGCCAACGCTCCGTAAAGTCCTTCATCACGAGTACATTGGCAATCTAACCATCATCAATACATAAGCACGGAAACAAACAAAATAGACATCGACACATACCACACCCTGGTCATACCCGAAACTCAGACCCCCAATGCTCGCAAATATCACACACCAAAGTGTGTACTGGTTGCTGAACAGTCCAGCGAGACCTTTCGGACCGTAGGAATAGTTATACGAATGACCATCCGGATGAACAGTCAAGCTGCCTCCATCTCGTAGCTGTGCCCATGGTTCGTCCGGGCTAGGATTAAGAGCCGCGTTCTCTGAATCGGACTCTGGTATATTGAGGTAGGCTTGGTTGCTCGTCTATGCAGAGGTCAGCCTCCTGCAGGCATAAAGAGCAGTTACTCACAGCGGTCATGCGATATCTGACGGGAAGGGTGGTTACTCCAGGTAGGGAGCTGGAGATGTAAGTGACGGTAGGAATACAAGTGACGTTGGTAGGGCGGCGACCACGTGCACAGAAACGCGTGGCTGCGCTGTGCGCGCTTGTTTTGGACTTCGAATTCTTATGGCCACTCAAGCTACATACGTCGTCCCTAGATTTATCCTGACGCCATACCGGGCTTAAAATTCTACTGCAAGTTGCAGAAGGTACTTCTACGATATCGCTGAATGGCCACTGCGTACTCAGGTTCGGATACCTTTAATCTGAGTGCCAAACGGATTCGAAAAGATGGGCCACTGGGAGGTCTCCATCTATCTACTTGTGTTCCGCTCGCTGCTTGCTCAGGTTTCTTTCACTTCACTGGTACAAAAGATCTTGTTGTCGATGCCTATTGGTTGATATACTTGGATTTCGTTAACGCCATCCTCGATGATCGCCCCAATTACCCCGCCTCGCAGATCGCCTTCCGTACCAAAAATAACGACTGACGAAGGAATTATTGCTATTTCGAAAACCTTATTTCCTTAAATCACCTACCAAATGCTCCGGTGTCGCCAGCCAGACTTGTTGCACCCTCATGAGTCTATATGGCGCCTACATCTGATAATAATGTTGAGAAGCTGCGGACCAGTTTGCCCAAAGTTTGTCAAGACATCAATCACTATAATGACAATGTTGGACTCTGACAGCCAGATCAAGGGGCATGCTGCGCAAGAGGGCATTGCTTACCGTTACCGTTGATCAAGGTTTACTTATCAGATATGTGCTAAGTCATCTCATTTACTAGAGCGGCTTCTCAGCTTCGAATACTGCGCATACATATTGAACGCAGCTGCAGTTAAAGCGAGTCTCTGTCCAAGTACTTTCCTGCCGATCTTCGCTTTGATGAATAACACGCTGGCTAAATTCGTTCATGCCCCCACAACGTCGATGGATGAATCCGTTCCCTAGTACTCTATTCTCGACCTCAAGCTGCGGAATTCGTAAAGAGTTTGACTAAGAGCCGAATTCTAGGTTCAGCACATGATAGTTATCTGACGGACTGTATAAAGGTGACTCTCATGGAACAACTCAACCAGTGCATATTTCGCTCATCGTCAATCTGCAATGTCAGAAGGACCACAAGAACCACACGGACATGGACACCATGGAAGACATGGACACCACGGACCACACAGACACAGTCAATCTTCAACGTCCGAGGGATCACAAGCCGAGGGACCACAAGAGCCACACGGACATGGACACCATGGAAGACATGGACATCACGGACCGCACAGACATAGTCAATCTTCAACATTGGAGGGATCACAAGAGCCACACGGACATGGACACCATGGACGACATGGTGGACATCACGGACCACACGGACGCAGACAGCGACCTCCCACCACCCCCGCCGACTGGGAACGATCTGACAACTTCCATAACTCCCACCTTTTGCGGAAAGACGAAGCTCTCGATGCTGCGATCCAGAACAGCGAGGCAAATGGCTTGCCGCCCATTTCTGTCAGCCCTGCTGCGGGACAACTCTTGTACCTGTTGGCAAAGTCCATTGGTGCAAAAAGGATCTTGGAAGTGGGTACGCTCGGAGGGTCTGTGATCTAGCTTTTAGTCCTTGGTGGAGTCATCTGAATCCTTGCTAGGTATTCCACCATTCACCTTGCGAGGGCGCTCCCAGATGACGGGAAGGTCATTACTTTAGAGCTAAGTGAGCACCACGCCAAGGTAAGCACGTTCGTTTCTCGCAAGTCATGGAGACTCAACTCACACATTATGTTCTCCAGGTCGCAACAGAGAATATTACCAAAGCAGGACTGGCCTCTAAAGTTGACATCATTGTCGGCCCCGCCCTTGATTCGCTTCAAAAGATCGAGTCGGAACCGAAATTCGACTTTGTCTTCATCGACGCTGACAAGATCAATACGTTGAACTATTTCATGGAAGCTAAGCGACTTTTGCGTAAAGGAGGGGTTATCGTATGTCGATCCTTTTTGTGTTTTCTTCCCCCTTGGCTTAAGCATATTAACAGTACGTGGACAATGTTATTCGAGGTGGACTTGTCGCGGATCCCGTTGATACCAGTGAGAATTCCGATGGTGTGAGAAAGCTCATTTTGGCATTGAAAGACGATGAGGAAGTAGAGGGGACTACAATTGGCACTGCTACTGGGCAAGGGTATGACGGGTTTTTGTATGCTGTCAAGAAGTAGGGCTTAGTATGCCAAACGGACTGGGGGTCGCATGCAGAATACAATTCACGGTTTGTAATATACAGATTCTTATGGTTTACTTGAATTGCCATCATATACATGAGTCCACAGAAGGCAGTCAAATTGTATTGCATAGAAATTTGATTTACGAGGCACTGTCTTGCTCAATACTTGTGATACTGCATGTATTTCCAGATGCTGTAGCACTCGTGACCGTGAAGGGCTGCGTCAAAGAACATCAACATGGGCATGGCGACCAAGTAGCAGCAGATGACTTACATAGCTTCCAAGATGCGGCCATGACCCGCACCAGCCCGATGCGGCTGTTGTCGCAGTAATCTCGACATTGCTATAGATGATCGGACCAAAATCAAAAGCAACATCGTACAACTGAGAGCCACATGAATGGAAGTAAGATGGGAAGAATGGTTCTCGCTTACTTCGACAGCAAATATAGCACTAGACGAAGGAAGAGGTGATCAGAAGGAAGGAAGGGAAAAAAAAAAAGAGGAAACGGGAACTGTCACACCGATTCATGGTATTTCCTGTGACATCAAGTACCGTCGACGCGGAGCTAGAGCCAGATGAAAGGGTACACGTCCATTCGGTCCCGCTCTACGAAATTAAGGTTCACAGATTTATATTCTGATCGGCGAGCAAACTCACAACATTAAACTCAAAGTGCACTGTATCCCCGGGGTACACATTGAATCCATTACCCCAGGCGAGTGAAGGTGTGCCATAGAACCCGTCGCCAATCCACCATGTCCCACTGCGGCCATCGAGGACAGCTTGAAGGACGCCGTTGTCGGACTGTAAGCCTGGCCAGACGTAGGGTGTACCTCCGGGCGTCGGCAGGTCGGGAACGAGCATGTCACCGGACATGGCCATGAAGGTACTGAGGGAAAGCGGTCGTCATTCGAATATGGCAGGAGGAAGACAATGGATGACTTACGTAGCGTCCCATTCGACTGTGTACCAGTCGACTGCCGCTACCAGGGAGAGAAGACAGAAGAGGGAAAAGAAGGAAAACGATCGCATCTTTTAGATGATGCATCCATTTCACTGACTTTATAATTCGATAAGATCGTGGACCCGGGCCGTCAGCCATATGCAACATCCGTCTAGTACGTGCGAGTATATGAAGGGTTAATAGTGGTTACATTCCTTTGGGTGTTCTTCGGAAAGATAAAAAAGACATATCAGTTCGACGGAGAAACTGGAAGCAAAAGCACCAGATCATATCTAGGCCCGGACAATTGTAATGCTTCTTGATAACTCATGAGGGAGAAAGGGTTTAGTACCGGAGATAAGCAGCTCTAATCAGAAACGCGAGACGAGAGGAGAGACCACGTTGAGCATCCACTGGAACTTGGACACATGGCCGTCATGTCACCAGATGGAGGTTCTGGGTGCTGAGTGAAAATACTAGAACGCAGTTGAGAAATATTAGTCTATTGCTGTCTCGAGAGGATGAATGGTAAGAGGGAGGCTATCGCAAGCTCGCGTATGATGCATGTGCCTTCGATTCATCGATCTGGTCTGGGTGGCATTTTGGAGCTCAAAACATGAGCTGGGGGACACCAAATTGACGAAGACTGCTTTTATTGTGCCAATCTTATGGTAAGGGCGCTTGAATGCGGTTCAAGACTGGTCGGTGGAGGGAGAGGGAGGGGGGCAACGATGAAAAAACTGGCATCTATTATTAATATTAGCCCCGGTAACGTCACTTTAAGCTGTCGTAATAATATTAGCGAATAAATATACTGTCAAAGTGCAAATCGCTCTGGCATGTCAATACCCTGGTGCACCGCAACGTTCCAATCCAGGTGTGGAGCTTTGGAGCTTGAAACTTGAAACATCATCATTCCCTTACCGGATGTGCTTTCGTTGTAGATGCGGCAACGTAAGGCAGGTAGCTGGCCCGGGAGGACGATCGGTGGGTCGCTTCATCCGGGCCGGAAACCAATTGCTAGGAATTACTAGCATTAGGGCAGGTCAAAGCAAAGCAGGATCTCGCGCATCCTTTTCACCGCAAGGCCGCCTTTCAGACATAGTAGGTAATGATTTAATGGAGGGTTGTGCTATGCTATGGTTTCGTCTTAATCTGGTAGCTCTACCCAACTCATGGTTATCAGGGAACAGCGCTTTTGGGGCCTCACGACACGTGACTCGTCGTGAGCCTGGAAAGCGAGGTCTATGAAGCTTCGACGTCTGAGCTCAATCAGGCTCATTTGCACTGGCTGGCGAAGGAATGATCTCTAGCTGCACGGTATTCATACCTGCCCTTCGTCCTTTTCTCGACGTCGAGGATATGTTCGTAGGTATTGATGCATACGTCCCAAGAAAGGCCAGGTTATCGATTCGTGCATATATATCTGGACAGCCAGTCAGATTGGATTCTCAGCAAAAAGAATAGTGAGTCAACCTACCGAGCTACGAACCTTCAAATTCATTGAACTAGAAAAGAACCCATCAAGCTCGCCCAGGACCAAACGAATATTATTTTTCGCTTCGTCGAGCGCCTTAGGTTCGGGAGCCTCGTATCCATGCGTCGTCCATTTCTACTGCTCGATCGAAAACTCCCCACCGTCATCCCGTAATAGATCGTGCAATTTCCGGCAGGATCTGACAGTCGAAGATTTGCTAGTGCCCATATGTCCCTGCGATAGTCGGGCTTGTGACTGAGGGAAACGAATGGGCGTCTCACTGAATGCGTTCCACCCGTTGGTGGCCAAAATGCAACACGCCAAGAACAGATCCTCATGCTTGTGAAGATGATCCAAATACCACTTGATATCGATCGACGTGTCCAGTGCCGCAAGCCCAGCGACATACCCATTGATAACGGTCACCAGCGATGGACCGAGGGAATGGGCTTCCGAAAACTTCCAGTCGTCGTATCTCGAGGAAGACGTCATACACTATTTGTACATCATGCCTGAGGCCGAGTCCCAAAATATCGCACATAGTATCGAAGGGCGCATAGATAACCCAGTAAGTGTCGTATGGTGTCATACCGATTGATCAGGTTTCAACAAGTGGTCGTAGAACGGGCCAAAATTTGTGCCTTGGGGAGTATCCAGGTAGAAGTGACTTCGAGACACCGACAATCCCTGAATACACATCCAGCAAAGGCATTTGAGTACCCGTCCATTCAGGCCCAAGCTTGAAGACAGAGCTATAAGCGACAATGTATTCCACGAGATCGGAATTTGCGGCGAGGTGTCCGTTAGGGAGATTGTTCAACGTGACATGGTCACAGACGATGCACAGTGCATTTAATAGGGCGTGTTGAGTGTCGATGTCAAAAGGAAAAGATAAGGATACCCGATGAAGTAGATATCGAATGAAAGCCAACGCGAACGCAAAAACAGGAGGAAACAATGTTTTCTCGGCGTACTGATCAAAGGCCGAAAGCATGTTCAACAAGTTGGCTGTCAATTCATCGAGGAAGTGCGCTTAAGCGGCGATTTCAAATTGAACAGAGGGTGATGGCTTCTTCATCGTACTCCCCATCCAAGGAATAATGAGGCTGCATAGATCCATAGGAAATGAATCTAGTGAGTCGATGCTGGTCGGGGCGCTTCCGTCGTCTTTAGCTATTCGTATGAGTTTCAGCCAAATGACTGGAGGTAACCTCGTTGAACGAGAGCACGCTTCTTTCTCGAAAATGCGGTGGAAGTCGGTGAATTGAGCGGCTTCAAATATTTACTCCTTTGCAGCATATCGTTCGACCAAACAGCGATCGCAAGCCTCTAGTTGTCGTCAGCAGCATCAAAGTAAAAATTTGACCAGGTGTAACTCATGTCATGATACAGATGCGGAATGGACAATTCGAAGCGAAGTAGGCGCTCGCCCTTGTTTTCCATTTCTCATGAAAGTTTCAAGGAGCTCCGTACTAGGTACTGCGTTGACTTTCACGAAGAGTCGACGGACATGTTTAGGAAATAGGTCGTGTGTAATGTAGCGGTAGGGAGTATATACGAGGTCCGACAACGGTATACGGTAAGGGCATTGTGGAGGTAGAATTGGTAGGAAGATGGTTATCGAATACGTCGTGTATGCCACCGGTGTCCACCAATAAACCAAGAAAGGCCAGGCCGGAGCGGTACGAAGAATACGACCAATCCAACGAAAAAGATCCCGAGCGCGAGGTGCATTATGACGGGGAGAAGTCCAATGATGACCATCACATGCCACTTCTGGAATGCCCCCCGTATCGATATTGTCGAACACGACTCCGCTCTTGGGGAGTCCCTGGTGGAAGACGAGGTAATGGTGGAGCCACTGCTTCACCAGAACGGCGATCAGGACGGTTACCAGACTGAGGGAGAGACTCGTGGACCATAGCCCGTTCACCCAGATGTCCGTAGTTGCAGGAGTGAACTTGGCATAAGGGTTGAGGGAGGACACTGGAACGTTGTCGAGAGACGAACCGTTCGCAATGATACGCTGAATGAGAACTATTTCGAAGAGCAGGGTTGCCGATACTTGAGTATAGCTTGCCCGCAGACTCTTCGATATCTGAGATACGAAGGTTGACACTGCCGCTGAGAAAGACCAGCCTGAAGGGTCGTCAGCGATGAAGATGACGGCTTGATACTCACGAAAACAAAGGAGCACGTCGACGCTATCCCTCGTTTCCTCGACCATCCTGGCATCGTAGTTTGCGCTCTCATCCAAGAATGTCCTCCATACTCTTGCCTTTGAGGCTGTTTCTTCGTAGAGGTTATCCTAGGGATACTTGTCCTCGTAGTTGAACGGGTTATGGCCTAAAGATAGCCTTCATAAGGAATAATTATAATACCAGGGAACCGAAAGCAAGAGCCATGATACCTGTCTTTAAACCAGCATCTGGCCTGGTCTTCTTTGCAACTCTATCACCCTCGACGCCGGCATCTTCCTGTATTCCCGGGCTCAATAATGGTTCGACCCCAATATTATCTGAATTGACGTGTTCCTTGCCAGTCTCCATTTCCTGACTTCTCTTCGTTTTCTTGACGCAATTTCGAGCCATTGTTCTGTAACGACCCTTCTGGGCGGTCCTGAACATCGGAGATGCCTTCAGAAGGGCGTTTTCCTGCTACTTCGTCGACTCGGTGCTGGTCAGACATGACCGGTCGACGGCTGCCCGCTGACACGATGTTACAGATGGAGTTGAAAAAACCCTAGCGCACGACCCTGATCCGAGCACCTCTTTCCTGTTTACCGCCGCGGCTGAGACTGAATGCAGATGCCGGGAGTTGTGATTCCTCTTGTCTGCAAGGGGCGGCAGGCTAGATAGCATGGTGGATTGAGAGAAAGGAGTGCCTGCCGGACGGAAAGGCTGTGTCTCTCTCGCGACGCGGTCACGTTCGACCTCCCATCCTCTTTTTTTCCCGAGCATGTAGTGTCTGCCCCACCAAAGCTCCACTTGGACTTGTTTTCATTATTCTTCTTCTTTGGAAGTTCTATTTCATGACATATTATTATGTACATTAGGTGCTGACCCTTCGAAGACGTTGCCGCAGTACGCGCGAGCCGCTTGTTCCGAAAATGCCGAATATGCATTGTCAGGTTCGTCCGTATCCATCTCTCTGCGGCCGAGAGTTTGAATTCTCTATAGTATGTATCATTCTAGCTGAGCAATACCTGCCAACTGTTTTGCCTGTCTAAAAAATCCATCAGTCTAGAAAGGCTCAAGCAGCGGATACGCACGCATTGGAACCTGATGCGCCTTCGTTTACTCTCGGCGACGTAACAGCATTAGCAACCCGAAGAACCAAACGCCAATATATCCCCGTTTCTTCAGCGCATGCTGTAAGAATCTGGCTTCAAGTGGCGTTCTTTCGTGCATTCATCTGGAGACCATCCCAGGGTATCCTTCTCCCCATCCCCACCTTCGCCAACATGGTAGCGCCTTACCCAGACAACCTGATTATCTACCCGCCTATCGAAAAACCCACCTTGAAGGATATCATCATCGAGAGTGGCTGCAAGGTCCTCGCGGAGCTCACAGAAGCTAATTGCACTACCGACGTAAGTTCTACTGGTTCTTGCGTGTGATGGCCATGATGCTGACTCCACGATCTCAGATACCAGTTCAGGAGAAACGCTCCCCGAAAGGCTTTGACAGACGACGGTCGATAATGTTGACCGGATCTCCTGGCCGGGACTCTTTTCAGAACAACTTTTGGCTGAGAAAGACGAAGGCAGTGATGAAAGAGATGAATACGGTGACACAGTGCATTCCATCGGCTGCAAGGGGATCGTTGCGCTTTCTGGACCTTGGGTGAGTGATTCCCGAGATCACCACCGGTCGTCATTCTGAACGACCTCATGTTTTTTTAAGTTGTTGTCCCGGTGGCTTTACTGCCTACATCCTTGAGAAGAACAAGATCGCTAGAGGCCTCGGAATCTCCCTGCCTACAGAAGACGGTGGATACGCTTATTGCCTGGATAACCGTCTACGCCGACAGACATTCGTTCCCCACGACTTGACGAAATTCCAGCTCTCGTCATCGGTTTCGGCCACCGGCACAAATTTCAAAGCTGTTCCTCGGGATATTGAAAAACGTCAATTCGACCTCGCCATCCTTGGTGCTAGCCCACTTTCCAGCTGGCGTGCGAACCGGGATAGCGACCTTCTCCTTGTGTCACAGCTTGTCCTGGGGTTGCAGGGGGTCAAAACGGGTGGGACTATCATCGTGCTGCTACATAATCCCGAGTCATGCCAGACAGCGAGGGTGTTATATCTCCTTGACAAGATATCGAAGAAGCTCACTGCGCACAAACCGACGTCTGTGCACAGTGATCGCAGTTCGTTCTACGCCATAGCCCAGGGGGTAGGGCTCGGCAAAGGAGAGGAGGTCACGAGGAATGCGTACCTTGATGGGCTGAGAAGACTGTGGTCTGAGATGACACGGGAAGGGAGGAAGATGGTGGAGGAGGATTTGGATTTCATCGTTACCATGGATGAGGTTTCGAGGTCGTGTATCGCCTGGTTGGTGGAACTGTGTGGTAAGATTTGGGAGATACAGCTGCGAGCGTTGGAAGTGGGTATGGAGAGGGATCTATCTTTCTGATATTTTTGATACCTTTGTATATTTAAATGTTGTGCATACGTGGTAGCAAGGCAGCAGGATTAATTATTCAGGATTTCTAGGCGATCAGAGCTTAAGTATTACTCTGTAGCACAAGCGAAACGTAGCGTGTCCGACTCTTATCAGTTTTCGCCTTCAGTATATGGTACGGAATTACTTCTTCAATTAATATATTTAATTTATATGGAGATACCACGTGATCATTCATGAGGTTCTGGCACGCGTTTTGAACTTGTTTACGTTTTTCTTGTACTTCATACTTCTTCCAAGAATCTTTCTTACACCCTTCACTCTATATATCCATGCGCCTACACATCTCCAATCCCTTCTTACCTGACTCAACAAAGAACGTTCCAGTGCTCTTGTTCTGCTTCGAGCAGAGAGCCGTGTTCATGAGACGTCGCGAAACGTATGAAGTGAGTCTCGCGTTTTACGCTCGTTTTTTTATACCTATCCATCATCCACCAAAGGAAATGATCAACGCTTTACGACTTAAATTCAATATCCCGCATAACGCTGACGCCGTTCTACGCGTCTCCACATTGGATGTCTGTCGTGGGAGAGAGATCGAAGTCGATGAAGATGCCTACGAAGCCATGGCGCCATTTTTGGATGAAATCAATATTATTCTTTCTCCTCGGAGCAGCGGTGCGTACATTTCATGATTGTACAATTTGATGCTAATGTCCTGATCAGACAAAGGAAAAGGGCATTTTGTTAGGGAAAACGCTTCCCCAGTCCTCACAGAAAGACAGATTCCCACGGCAATAAAATACGAGCCATCTGACTTGCCGACACGCGCGGAGAAAGTTGTCAAGGCGGCGGAACTATTCGCAAGCGATGACCACCTGGAGGGAGAGAAAGGCCAGGAGAATGGAGAAACAAATGCCACAGAGCCACCAAGCTCCTCGAGTCAAGAAACTGGCCATTCCTGGGACCACGTTGAAAAATCAGACGCTGAACGACCAAACAGGAGAAAGGGTGAACCATTGTCTGGTGCCTACAATCTAGAGATCTAATTGCAAGTGTTTTCAAGTGTTCATGGCAGATCAGAGCATGGTGATCGTCAAGCAGGAAATCGAAGGGATCGTGCCACCGAAGGCTTCTGGTCCGGGTGGACTTAACATGTCGCCAAGGAAAGAAGGTTGTATATGTTCTTTTCTACTTGAATATCGCGTTGTTGCTCATAGTGTGACGCAAGCTTCTAGCTTAAGGGCTAGGAATCCGTCCCCCAGGAAAGACCGCTGTATGTCCGTTATTAGCGCCCCTAGAATCTGATGCATCTTATCGTCTATTCAGATGAGGAACCAGGACCTCAAACCACTGGAGAAGACCCTGACAAACACTTCGAGGTCACCGTTACAGGACCTGAGGTTTGCCAAGGGGCCAGATTGAAGACTCGCGGAAGATATCAAGTCAAGAAAGTTCTTTATGGTGTTTGCAAATCGTTCGGGATTCCCTTCGACACGTGAGTCGCCCCTCTCTCGGTAGAGATCTTGTTTCATTCTAATTTTGAAAATTTCGAATAGGGCCAGATTGATTCATATCGTCAAGTTCGTTGAAGACGGCACCGAAAGTGTGGAAGAGTTTGAATGTGACAATGATGCAACTATGACGGACTGCGGCATTAAGGAGAACGCGCAGCTCGTTGTAATTCAGCGAGAAGATGAGGATGAGTCCTATGACGAAGACGAGGAATAACCGACTGCTGGCAAAAGAGCTGGTGTAAATTTTCTATCAGGAATTGTCGAGTGGTTGCAATGCTGAATGTTCATCTCTCCGACGCAAGGCAGCTGAGAGAACATATTCTGGTGAATCTTTGGGATCGCCAGCTGAGTTTCTATGAAACTTTCAAAGTTTGTGGTCATGACGATCGTGCAAATACTGATATTATTATATCCTTAGGAGCTGTACCGACCAGCGGAACAGCGCGGGTAAGTCCTTAGGCGAGGCGGCCCCTCCTCTGGTGGAAAGATACAAGAAACGATATATTTCAAGGAGGTCTACGAGAGAGGACCAACTAACGAACCTTAACGGCAGGGCCAACCCTTCATCTAGTACACGCCCACGGATCTGTAGTACTCTCATCCTTAATGCGCTCTTAGCCTCAGGAGGTCCGCGGGCCCAAACACACACGGTCAATCATTGACGGTCTCTTCATGATGTTAAGAAGTTTAATTTGCGAAAGGAGGTGGAGGTCCTCCTGAAAGTCAAAATCTTATCAAAATCTTATATTTCATGGGCCCGCATTCCTATCTTTCTCAAGCCTTTTCGCTCTCTTGGGGCTCTCCTGTTCGCATCCAACATGGCCGTTCCAACTTCTTCAATCGGCAGCACGTAGGTATTTACTGTGGTTCAAACGTATGGAGATGCTCAGTGTTCGCTAGATTTGGCGCGCTCTTTATCGGCATGGTCGTCGCTGCTGCGTAAGTGCTTCCCCACATCAGCGTTTTCAGTTTCTGACAGGATCTACGCGTGATTAGGCTCTGGGGTGGTGAGTGTTGCCTGTCATATAGCGAGAAGATAACCAATCATTTGTATAGTTTCATGCGTGCAGACGTGGTATTACTTTGATAATTACCGGCGGGACAGCATATTCCTGAAGGTCGTGGTACGTCCAGCTCGCCGTCGTTGGAACGGGCATGATGTGCATTGACGATGTTATAGGTTTTCCTCACTTGGCTTAGTGATACTGTTCATCAAATCTTGATCACACATGTTTGTGAGTTCAGTCGTTTCCGAGTCTCTTGAAGTGCTCATTATATAGTGTACTACTACACTATCAGTCACTTCGGCGACACAAACGCACTCGAAGACGTCGTATGGACTCTATATGTCGGCACCATTTTTCAGTTTCTTCTTTCCGTATGTACCTAACTCGCTCTTTGTAGGCCGAGGTCATCTTCAACTCTATCACGGGATTCTTAGTACAAAGTTTCTTCGCGTATCGTATCTGGACATGTATGCTCTTTGTTCTCCAACACCAAATTCGTATAAAATTGACCTTCTCCAGTCCGGAAGAACGCTATAGTCCTGTCTGTCATCGTAGGTCCATGATTATTGTAGCGACAACGTCAGGTTTTCTCAGCTTCTATTCGTAGGCACTTTTCATTTTGGGAGAAGTGGGGACCTCAGTTGGTAAGTTGTAGGAAAGCACCCTCGATATTGAACTACTAACATCTTCATGATAGCATACGTCGTCGGTGGCGCACACCTTCCTACGTTCACCGACCTCAAGAAATTGAAAGCGCTGTCGATGTCTGTCAACGTGTTCGCAGCAGCAGGAGATGTTCTCATATCGGTTACCATCTGTTTCTTCCTTAACAATGCGAAATCGGGTTTTGCCTGGAGTAACAATGTTATCAATCGTTTGGTGGGTCTAACTTCTTCCATTTAATCCGGTTGAATGATACAATCATGCGTCATAGATGTTGTTCGCCATCAATACCGGCATGCTCACATCTTTATGTGCCTGCGCGTCTCTTCTTTTCGCAAGTTTCTTCTTGTACCATAGTAAAAGTGATAACACTCATTTACACTATATCTATAGATTCTCGCTCTGCCTAACACATTGGTTTACTTTGCATTCTACTTCTTGAGTATGCATTTGAATAATTCACAACACATATTGACACTGACTGACAGCTAGTTGGTCGATGTATGTCAAATGTAGCGCTGCCATATGCGCCTATCAGTAACACACCTTATTTCTAGTTTACGTCAATTCCCTGTTGGCAACGCTCAACTCGAGAAAGAGCATGCGTACGCCGGCTTCTACCGAAGCAGAGTCGCACTCTCTTCAGGACCGCGCCCGCCGAACCTTCAGTACTCGTCTCCGCGGCATCATGTCGACCCAAGACAATAACGTATGCTTTTTACTTTCGTCACTCGCTGCAAATCATCTTATTCCAATAACAAAAGCCACACACTACTCCGCGAATCGAGGTGCAAATCAACACTATTCGGGCTGACGACTACGGCAATGACGAGGTCAGCCTGCAACAAGATGATGCGGGCGTGCAGAATAAATCCGGTGACTTTAAATTCACATCAAATGAGTCCAGCGAGAAGGGCGTATAAAATTGCTTCAGCCTACTTGAGGGCCTAGATCTAGAACATGAAGCGTAATGTATTTATGGAATAGAGCATATACATACTGCGTTATCAACTTGTCCCATCTGTGGACACGTTTTTATAACCATGCGCAGCTGGACGGGAACGGTATTCGGAAACGGCCCTCAGCTCCATGGTGATATGTACTTTTCCGGTCAGCACAAGCTTGTGTGCCCAGAGCAAGATCCCACCTACAGTTATGGAGTAAGGCCATGTCTCGCGCCTTCAAGACAACCCTTCCATTTATGCAAGCACCCTTTCCTTCTTCGTAGTATATGTCAACATGCCGATTCTGCGCTGCAAGAAAAAAAACCAGGGGCGAATACGAATGTAACCATCGTTTCGCTGTTTCTAGCAAAATATATCATTGTCTCCATTGCCTCTGAAAGACTGGGATGGCATTGCTCTTCGGGTCAGGGTTAGACATGACCAACGTCGTCTCTGTATTACAGTCAATAGCTGATCCGCATGAAGAGGGAACGGAAATTTTGCAGCGGTCTGTACTACCGAACAATGGAACTGGGCAAATACTTGTTCCAGGTGACTTGACGATCCATATGTACTATCATGATGTGAGGGCCACAACCATTCCACAGGTCACGGCAAAAGCATTTGGGCCCTCAAGGCATTATCGCCTATAGAAGAGTCAAAGGAAACAGGCGGCGAAATCAAAAAACCACTTGCATCTACCCTCAAAGAAAGACTCCACAAAGTTGGAGAAAGGGCATCGACTACATCAGTCTATTTCTTAGCCACTTTGGCCGGTGTTTCTCGAGGACTCGTCATGGGCCATCCTCGTTGGGGGGTTATACCTGGTAGTGCTCATTATCCACGATCTTCAGCTTTGTAAGCTAAAGCCTGGTTCGATGGTAATAACGGAAGATATCTGGATCGAAAGTTCAAAGTATAGGGTAATACCCGAAAGTCATACCTTCCACAACTCCACTAGCAAATTATGACTTGGAGCGACAAGCCTCGACGAATTTCGGTTCCTTGACTGAGGAGCGGGCAAGTTCCCGACCTGCAAAGATCGTGTCATTCTAAAGAATAAACGACTAGCTCCAAGGGGTATGACGACTTCAAAGCCAGCTCCTAGTCTCGTATATCAGATTCAACGATCCCTATGAAGATAAGTCGTTCACTGGATGTAGACCTCCCAAATCACGTTGTTATCCTTGAATGGCCATCTCCCACTAGAAAAAAATCAAACAATTTCTTTCTCCTCGCAACACATTCTCCCGGATTGAGGTAGACGATGCTTCTAAAAATGTCGATTGTTCGATTCGTGCGCTTCACGGGATAAAGGGATCTATTAAAGAAAAGGATGGATGGAAGAAGGGATGGGATCGCGGTCGTAAGCAAGATGCCGGCGAGAGGGGGGAAAAAAAATCTGGAATTTTTCGCGACAATCGCGTGGTCACAATAATCCTATAAAAAGACACACCACGGTCACCAGGGCAAATCATCGCTCTAAAATGTCAAAAAGTGCCTTCAACAACACTTTCATCTGTTCAAGTTCTGCTACAACAGATAAATACTCCAAATGACGGGTGTCTTCGGTGTAAATTTAGCGCGTCGATAATCAAAGCTGTTTCAAGCAACCTAATGTACAGTAAAAACACCGTGATAGTAAGCACAGGCAAGTACCAATCTAAGGATAATTAAAGAATAAGTAATCCGAGGATGGCTCCTACGGCGATGTTGATTGGATGACAAGGAGCACAAAGATGATAAGGATGACAAGCACTGTTACAACATGCCAAGTACCGCAAGGACAACAAGGATGGCTTGAACTCATTTAAGAAAAGTTAGTCTTCATTTCTTGTAGAGTACATCGACACGACATCTCTTTCTTTGCTACTTTTCTCAAAAGCTTTCCAAGTGATATTGTTTCCATCCAATGAAGCAACACGTGCCATCATGACCAGCTTTTGCCAATGTTCATTTGTTGGAGGAGCAGGAGTTCTTCTGCCTCCTTTTTTTTCATTTTTCACCAAGTTATTACCTTATCCTGCATAATGGAATGCCTGCAACCGGCTTGCAACTCAGTCATGAACACCCTGCTTTTCACTACTACTTGCAATGTTAGACAGACAGAGCAGACCGACGTAAGGGAACATTATCGTTAACACAGATTTCATAACTTTATCTTGACTAATAACCGTTATAATAATCGTACACTCCTGCGCTGTGCTGTTCTTCTCTTTGGTTCAAATCATAAATTCAAGGCAGGCTGAGCACCGTCTGCATAAACTGATCGTAATTGATCTGAATCCATCCGTCGTGATCGGTGTCAAGGCGTCCGAATGCCTCGCTGAGTTGCTTTACCACGACGCAAGCGCGAACAAAACGATCGAAGGAGATACCAGGAGGTGGTCCGTGACCGACCGCTGAAGATGCTTTAATATCTTCCCCCGAAGGGTATGTCTGTCAGAGCTTTCTGTAACATCCTCATATCCAATTTACTCACCGTACTTCCGCTGGACTGAGTCGAGAAGCGGCGGAGACAGTCGGTAACTGGAGGCAAGCCTTAGATAGGAATGAAGGAGGAAATGAAACGACGCACCCGAACTGCGCCAGAGCATCTCGAAGCTCATTTCCGTCGATAGACCCTGATCGATCGCGGTCAAAGTGTCGGAAGACATTTTGCCAGTCCTGATGAGAGTGTATGTGAACACAAACCTACGAGAAAGATGATGGCGCGCCTTACCTTGATGTACTTCCAAAGTCCAGCAAACTAGCATTAACGTGAGATTCAGGCTTCTGATAAGCACTGGGAGGCTAATCTTACTTCGTTGAATCCGATAGTTCCGCTGCGATCAGTGTCCTGGGGAGCGGCGATAAGGTGACCTGACGGGGGATTGTTAAGAGCCGTGGACGTACGAATATCGACATCAAGAGCTTTACAGTATCCAAATCAAAAGCTAGAGAACTGTCAAACGCAATCCTGCAGTCTGTAGCTTTGATGTTGACGTACGAGTCCAATCGCCATTGATCAATGCGCGCTCTAATGCATCGCGTCGGTCTTTGAAATCCCGTTGAACTGGCTGGGAGACGTACCTAATTCACTAACGGTGATAGCACCTGATCTATCGGTATCAACAGCGCTGAACCAGTTCCAAAGTCTGCAAGCGAAGATGAGTTTCTTTTCGTAAATCCTGGCTGAAGTTACGCACTGAGGATCAGCGCCGGGAGGGGGTCCTTGTGGTCCTGGCGGCGGGGCAAATCCTCCACCGTAAGCATATCCTCCGCCTGGAGGTGGCGGTCCACCTGGGGGTGGCCCGCCGTATCCACCGTATGGACCTCCAGGCGGGGGAGGTGCTCCGTACTATTGGAATCAGTATGCATCCTGACACCTACTGAGCAGGACATACACCACCGTAAGACATTGTTTATGAAGATTGATTTGTTGTGAAGGTTGAAATCAAAGGATGGATACCCCGACCTGCACAGCTTCCCAAAAGGCAGTGTACTATTTATATGACATCAAGTAATGTTCACGTGACTATGTTTGGAGTTAGCCGGAACTTCCAGAGCTCCAATACCTCAATGATTCCAGAGCACAACATTGGCATATTTTCCACAACAATTGAATTGTACACTAACCATTGTAAAGATGGATCCTTTGTCACTCAGGCATCCCAGAGTCTTTCTCCAGAGTACATTCAAATCACAGCATCCATTCTTTTTGAGCTAGTGGTTATTCAATATGTTCTTGCTAGTGGTGCTGCCATTGACACAGTCATTGCATTTCCATATGATCCTTCTTCCATCTTTATGTTTTCCACTGACAATATGTGGTTGAAGGGGCTTTGGTTCATCAGCCTGATCCTGAGCTTGATGACAGCTTTAGCAGTGGCTCTACTATTATATAACCCTGCCTTCTGGATCACCTTGTTGTTACGATTTTTCCTTCTTTTCTTGATCTTACCCCTATTTATGCTGAGTCAGAAGGCACAAGACTGTGGGAAGCTTGGTCAGCACGACTAACCTTCCAAAAAGGTCACTACAACAGTCGTGCCCAACAACGCACACAATCACCCTTTTTATGTACGATAGCGACGCTCAAGGACAACGAGCACCATAACCACAGACACACATAATAAGCCGTAGTATAATTAGAAGACAACCGTATGGTATTTAAGGATGAACGCTCTTGCTGGAAATACCCCAGCTTCGAGCTAAAGTTTATACACCACCATCCTAACCTTGAGCTGCTCTTGCACAGCCTTGTGACACGCCACGAGTTTCAACAATGAGGACTCGATTGTCTCACCTGAAGTGCGAGGTGCAATCATTTACCACGTGATTCCCGCACATGACGCTTGGGCCTAACAATTAGCTCGAAGCTTCTTTCTTCCCTTTCTCAAGCCCAATTGTGCTGAGAGACCGAATGACCCCAGTTACAACCCGCGACCTAAACCACGACTTCTTTGACCTAATAGCTTCCATAATTGGAATGCTACTTAGCCTTTTGGCCATCATCACTTGTTGCCAAGGGTGACAATCAATCACCGCTTGGATCGTCAGGCACTACCAAGCATTCCAGCAGATTCAACATATCCTCCGAAACGTAACCCCAGATCTCCCTTTCCATGACATCCCCCCCTCCGCCAGAACGACCTTCCAGCTGGAGGAGTTTCCCGTACCAGAAGCTGGGCATAGCTGCCAGGATACAGGGAGCCCTCAAGAAGAAGAGGGACACCGATACCCTCCTCGATGACCTGACAGCAGAAACCGGAACCATCATCTCACAGGGTTCCGAAACCCATGGACCACAACGATCCCTCAGGTCGCCCCGGAGATCCCCCATGATATCTCTTCAGTCCCCAGTAACCCTTCCACCGCCTCTCGCACCCCAGGGATTGGAAACCATGCTCGGGACTCCCGTGATGCCTCTCGGGTGGCTTTGAGAGCCAGGACTTCCCCCAACCCACCCCGAGACTCCCTCTATGAGCTCACCAAGCCGAATACTGACTCCAGCAGGTCCGTCAGCAGGCTGGGGGTCGAGGATCCCCACGGAAGGACAATACACCCCGACTATGCCAACGTCGAAATCGCCATCTCAGCAGCCGGAGATCCATTCTGACATCTCCACATCGGGAGCGAGCCAGAGGCTGGCACAGCCAGCGCGAGGGGGAGAATCGCCAGAGATAGGATTATCCGGAGGGTATTCCTGGACTGGGACCTTACCGTCCCATTTGATTACGACAGCGCACTATGACAGCAGCAACAGGCCCAGCAGCGTAGAGCAGAAGAAGAGCGAGCTCGAGAAGAGCTCGCCGAGTACACACAGGAACAAGCCCAGCAGGAGTATGAGGAAGCCGAGTACGACCGACAGGGACGAGCGCGAAGGAGACGAGAAGACGCAGAGAGGATGGGCTCTGCCTCCCCCGCGCAGTACGGGCTTCATTCCTCAGGATCTGAGTCTCCCTTCAGAGAGCCACCAACCGATGACAACCCCTGGACAGGACCAGGGAGCCCAGTCACCAGGAGTGAGGCCATCAGGAGAGGAGGAGGACCTCCCTCTCCCGACTTACAGTATCCTAGCTGAACAGACACCATTGCATCCGACGTCGACTCCATCCTCGACGTCTATGGACTCCGGGTACCTGACAACGCCCACATCTCCGACCTCGCCCTCCGACGATTCCTGGGAAGCCGGGTCGCCCACCAGTTCCTCCTTCCAGAGTTCTACCGAAACTTCGGCCTCTATAGCGAGGAACTGGAGAGAGCAAGAGTGGCGGGCAGGACAAGGTACTACGGAGTCCCACCCGTACCAGTCCAAGCCATCGCCGAAGGAGTTGTGGGACCCAGTAACGTTGGAGAACTCCTCGGCGATGCTATGACTCAAGCCCCTCACCTCCGACCAGCTTGCAGGCTCCCTCCTAGGGGAGGACAGCGAGGACAGCGAGGAGGACGAGGATGGCGAGGAAGGCCCCTTTGACCCTCGACACTTTATGAAATATGCAGGACAGCGACCAGATGAGGCAGCATTGAGGGAGGAGATTGAAAGAAGTAGGCAAAAGGAGTACAGAGAGCTATACGAGCAGGGAATGCTCTTTTTATGGGGAGATGCCCGCTGGCTGGCAACTCCCCTAGGACTTGAATATCGGTATGCAGGTTCAGTGGAGAAAAAATGAATTTTACAGTATGCCGTGACGGAATACGCCTGGAAAGAATATGGGCGCCGACATCCCGAGGACCCGCTCGGGCCGATGCCCCCATTCCAGCCACAAGTAAACGTCCAACCGTTACCACGAACCCCATCCGTCGCTCTGAAAAGAGCCGTATACATGGCACCTTCGATCCGAAGCATCGCCGAAACCAGCCGACACTCAGTTCCAAGCACGGCTTCCCGGCTTACCCGAGCCAGGAAACACCCCAGCGAACCACGAGCCGAAGGTTTCCGAAACCCATGGACCGGAAGGGAGAGCCGACTATTAGGGGCACAGCCCCCCCCCAACGAGGCCGGACCAAGCAGAAAAGGGAAGGAACCCGCCCAGGATGACCCTGAGGCTACACAACTAGGATTTACAGTAAGGGACGGGATTATCATCCGCATCCAAGAACCCAAGGGAAGCCCCGTCGCCGATGACAACTCCCTCCATTCGTTCCCCAGACCGCCCATCGAATAGCGGCGACCCCCCTTTGACAAGTGGTCCAATCCCATGGGAGCACTCCCGGAAAATGCCCAGGTCCTCCAATGCCGCCCTGACCTCCTCCGAAAGCCCCGCCCCTTTAAGGGGGCCTCAGATGACATCGACCGATTCCTGGTCGACTGTGAACAATACTTCGAGGCGTACATCGGATACCTTGGGACTGACATGAACAAGGTCGCGTTCGCTGCCTCGTACCTGGAGGAGAAGGTGAAGACTTGGTGGATCCTCATCTCCCCAAACTTTCGATCATCCACTCGGGGGCACTACTGATACCCCTCATGGCCGGTCTTTAAGCAGATGCTTAATGACAAGTTTATTGATCTGGCAGTACAGGAGGTTCATAAACAAAAGATCAAAGAATACAAGATGGGAGACAAGGCAGCGACCGACTACTTCGACGAGCTAGAATGGCTCGCCAAATTGGCCGGCATACGGGAAGATATCGCCAATGATGGAAGAATGGTGGAAGCCCTCAAGAGAGGGGTCCCCTCTTCTTACCTCATGATGATCTCTGCCATGGGCGTCAAAATGTTGATGCCCGTTGGATATGATGAATGGAAGGAAAGGATCATTGAGATGTATAAAGAATGACAAAGGCAGAAAGCAGAGGCGTCGACTCTAGGGGACTACAACAAAAAGCCAACTCCACCAACCCTGAACAAGGCGGGGCAAACTGCCGGGAGATCACCGGGACCCTCGACGACTCCCACCTACAGCGCCCAGAAAACTGGAACGGGAACCACCTATACCAGAGCAGGCAAGCCCATGGACATCGACAGAATAAAGAAGGAGGGCAAATGCTTCAATTGCGGGCAAAAAGGGCATATGGCAAAAGACTGCCCAAAAAAGAAACGAACCCATGAAGACATACGGGCACAGATCGCCGAGCTGCAGAAAGAAGATGAGGAGCTCAGGAAGGAAACAAAAGTGGAGGAGGTAAAAGAGGGGGCTGACTAGTGCGCAATTCCACTAGGTCGGCCATACAAGTTCACGGTGTGCCTATTCCAGCCGCTAGTCGGACTGATAGTACTTCTGTAGTAACTCCCATGCCTATGTACCAAAAGCATTCGAATATACCCGCAGTTGACATGCACACCGAAGAATTGCAAGAGCAAACTCAAACGCCTATGGGCTGAACAGGGGTAGAGGACCCCACTAGGTGGCTCCAACCATTTCAAACTGAATGGACTTGGAGGGCCATCAGAGAGGCGGTTAGCAGGGAATCCGCCAAAGCTACGCTGTGGGGGTGGGTCCACCAGACAAGAGCGGAAGAAGTTATGGATGAAGCCGTAGAAGGGCTCAAGAGCTCCAAACGAAGCAGAGCTCTTGAATGGCTAGATGAACTAAAAGGGGCCCGCAAGTTCATCCGACGAGCCAAAACCTTGGGGAGAGACTTGACAACCAAAGTTCAAATCGAGACTCTCACCAACAGGACCATGCATGCTGTCACCGCCCTGATCGATAGCGGATGCACTGGCAGTTCCATTAACAGGGCGTTCGTCCTAAAGAACCAACTCCCCACTCGATCCACTGCCGCCCCAATCCCTGTCTATAATGCCGACGGCACAAAAAATCAAGCCGGGTCGATTACCGAGTTCATAGAACTCCAGATGACTATCGGAGATCATTCCGAGAGGATCGATTTGGCTGTCACTGATCTCAGAACAAAGGAATTATTCCTGGGGCATGACTGGTTGATCCGCCACAATCCGCTAATCAATTGGAAG